TGCCCCTGCCCCTGCCCCTGCCCCTGGGAGCCGCCTTCTGGCTACGCAGTGTGTCTCCTGTCCACACAGCAGGTAGCAGGCACACCTAGCATTGCGCAGCTCCCAGGGCAAGGCAGCAGGGCGCAGAGCGCCAGCCCACAGCGTGAGCAGCCTGCCTCCCCCCCCAAATGCTCTGGATGAGCTGCCCGCCACACAACCTGACCCAGCCCCAGGGCCCCATTCACCCCTGCCCCACTCCCCCACTGTGGGGGCCTCAATCTGCCTACCCCCTCCCCTTCCCTTTCCCCCCAGCCCCTTCCCCTCCACAGACTTACCAGCTGGGTGCTCTCTACATGTGCTGGAAGGAAAATCCTGAGATGTGAGTGTTGTATCCTGAGATTGTGAGTTAGGGTTAATTTGATTTGGAAATCGGGAGTCTCACGACTGTTTTGTGAGAGTTGGCATTACTGCTGATTCATGAGTAAGTCCTCATCCCTGCATGCTAGGGTTACATGATCTAGGCCTTTGACCTCCCTTTTCCAGTGGGTGGTTGGTTTCAGACTGGTCCAGAGTATGCAGCAGCACAAACTGAAAACACGTTAAGCCAGTTTGTTGTTATTTTCAGGTGTGCACATTGCTTAGCTCCTCGGCCATCTGATCCTTTTGCTCACTTTTGTCAAGAATGCGGTTCACCTGTCCCACCTGTGCCAGGGCATCGCCTCCCACCCCCTGAAGGAGCTCAGGTTAGTAAAAACAGTTGTGACCACCAACTCCTTTTTTTTACAGAAACAGCCTTCCTCAGCAAATCATATAGTTGGAGGAGAGGTTTGCTCTTTCTTTCAGTTACAAATTCTTACTCTTAGCAATTCTTCAGATTCTTAATTGAACTGTAGGTTGGTTATTAAGAAGAACTTTCTAACTCTAAGGATGCTTAAGTACTGAGACAGATTCCCTAGAGATGTTGTGGAGTCTCCATCACTGAGTTGTTAAGTACATCTGAGACAAGTGTTTGTCTAGGATTGTTCAATCAGGGATGATCCTGCCTTGAGCAGAGTTGGACTTGAATAACCTCAAGGTCCTTTCCAGCCCTATCTGTTTTTTGCTCCCTGCCTTCCCCTAATAAACTGCTGGGTGCAGGGATGCCTGGCTTCCCTGACTGTCGAAGGACTTGGGAATCCAATAAAGCGAGATCTCTTCCACCAGTGCCTCAACTAAAAACTGGTGAATTCCAGTCAACAACAATTGGAGAAAGTTGGCAGTGCGCGGGGTGCCTTGAAGTCCACCATCATCAGCATCTATGAAGAGACACTTGGATTCTGTACCAGGAAACTTCAAGACTGGTTTGATGAGAAAGACTGGGTTGATCGACCAAGAGTTGATTGACCACAAGTACAACGCATTTTGTGCTTGGCAGAACAACATCAACTCCAAGCAAAAGAAACTGAATCACCAACAAGCCAAGACAGAGGTCCAAAGGAGGACCCATAATATGAAGAACAGATGGTGGGGAGACAAGGCTAAGGAGATTCAACATTTCTCTGACATCCACGATATGTGAGTTTTTTTCGATACCACCAAAGCCGTCTATGGTCCAAGCACTTAGGGACCAACACCCTTGAGATCTAAGGATAGAGTAGACCTGATAAAGGAAAGGGGGGCTGTTAGTGCCTTTTGGAAGGATCATTTTGAAGACCTTCTCAATCAAAACCTGATGTTGACAAACCTCCATCCCACAATACTCAGTCAGAGACTATCTCCAAATCCCTCCAATCCTTGAAGAGGTGAGGCAAGCCATCAAGCAGATGAAGAACAAAAAGGCATCTGGATCTAATGGACTCCCTCCTGAAATGTTTAAGCACAGGGGAGAAGAGCTCACACCACAACTCCATGCCCTCATCTTAAGGTCTTGGAATGATGAGGAAATCCCAGATAACCTCGGGGATGCCATGCTTGTGACAATCTTCAAGAAAGGAGACAAGTTCAACCATGGAAATTGCAGAGGGATCACCTTGCTGTCCACTACAGGAAAGATTATTGTGAGAACCCTCCTGAACTGTCTTCTTCCACTTGCTGAAGAGCTCCTCCTGGAATCACGGGTGTAGGGCAGGGATGGGCCAAGTCAGACCCATGGGCTGGATCTGGTTGGCAGTGGACTCCATTTCCCAGCTGCTCCTGAGCATGGCTGGGGCTGGTCTCCGTGGAGACCCCAGCCAGACCTGTGCTGTGAAAGCTCAAGGCTCGGGTTGCCATAGAGACCAGCCCCAGCCACACTGGCAAGGCAGAGCAGGGCAGGGGGCTGCTCCAGAGCAGCTAGAATCTTGTGATGGGGACAGCTTACTCCAGAGCCAGGGCAGAGCTGCGATCTGTAGCCTGCATGCTCTGGGCAGAGGTGCGCAGGCAGGGAATCGTAACTCTGCCCCTGCTCCTTGTAGCACTGACAGCCTGGTCTGGAGCGGAGGCAGAGCCACAATCCCATGCCTGCATGCCCCTGCCTAGAGCACACAGGCTACGGATTGCAGTTCTGCCCTGGCTCCGGACCAAGCTGCAAGATCCCAGCAGCTCCAGAGCAGCCCCCTGCCCTGCTCTGCCATGTGCGCTGCCAATGCGGCTGGAGCTGGTATCCATGGCAACCCCAGCCTTGAGCTGTCACAGCACAGCTCCTCTGGGGTCTCCATGGAGGCCGGCCCCAGCCGTGTGGGCAGGGGCTGCTGGGAAACGGAGTCTGGCTGCTGGCTGGATTGGCCATTTTGCACACCCCTGGTCGAGGGCATCGAGAGGTACAACTGACGTGATCTTCGCAGCTTGCCAGCTGCAGGAAAAATGCTGGGAACAACATAAACCTCTCTACGTGGCCTTCTTCGATCTCACAAAAGTCTTCAATGTTCTCAGCCAAGAAGTGCTGTAGAGGATCCTTCTGAAGTACGGATGCCCACTGAAATTCATCACCATTTGTTGCCTGCTCCATGATGGTATGTGAACAGTGGTTCTCAATGGATCTATCACAGATCCCTTTGAGGTAAAGACGGGAGTTAAGCAGGGCTGCATCATTGCTTCAACACTCTTCTTGATATTCCTTATCGCAATGCTACATCTGACCACTAACAAACTTCCAGTTAGAGTGGAGCTAAACTACCTAATGAATGGTAAACTGTTTACTCTCAGCTGACTCAGAGCCAAAACCAGGACTACCACAACCTCAGTCAAACTCCAGTACACTGATGATGCTGTAGTTTGTGCTCACTTGGAAACAGACCTTCAGGTAACTGTCTACGTCTTTACCAAGGCATACAAGAAAACAGGACTGACTCTTAACATTCAGGAGACTAAGGTCCTCCATCAGTAAGCTTTTACTGAGCAGTCCCTAGCTCTGGTAATTCAGATTCACGGTGAAACTCTGGAAACCACTGAGTATTTCCTGTACCTCAGAAGCCATCTCTTGCAGAAGGCTGACATCACCTCAAATATGCAAGTGCAGCCTTCAGATGCCAGAGGAAACAAGCGTTCAAAGATCATGACTTCAGATCTGAAACCAAGCGTATGCTTTATCAAGCAGTTGTGATCCCCACCTTACTGTATGGAGCTGAGACATGGATAATGCACAAGAAACCATCTACGCTGCCTGTGGAAAATCCTTCAAATCCAGTGGGAAGGTATATGTACCAACATTAGTGTCCTCTCACAAGCAAACACCACAAGCATCAAGGCAGTGATCATCTGACATCAACTTTGCTGGCCAGCCATATCTGAAGCAAATTTTATTCTCCCAGGTCAGTCAAGGCATATGCTCAAGAGGAGGGCAGAGAAAGCACTTCAAGGATGTCCTCAAGGCCAACCTGAAAAATGCAATATCGACATCAACTCATGGGAGACTATCACCCAGGACCTCCACAAATGGAGGAAGTGTTTGCTGCAAGTATCTCAGTACTTTGAAACCTTACAATGACAACAGGAGATGGAAAAATGGGAGCAGCAAAAATTGCATAGCATGGATCAAATCAAGAATCCAGTCATCCACCCTGCATGGAAACATGTGCCTAAATTGCAGCAGATTCTGTTGATCCTAGATCTTGTCATCCATCTTTAGACCCCCAAATAAGACAATCACTGAAGACAATCATTCTTGACTGCAAGGGATTGCCAAAGACACTACTGGGCGCAGGGATGCCTGACTTCCATGGCTGGGCTGTACCTGCTCTAGCAAATAGTCCCAGATTGGGGTGGGGGTATTCTGGTGCCCCCTGCTGCATCTGGTGTACAAGGAGCTTATTCCTCAGCTGTTGCTAAAGTGTAGACAGAGCTGGGGCAGGTAAGACCTCTGACCACTGCCCCCCCACACTCCCCCTCCCTTCGGTCATCAGCACTCTGCCTAGGGTACTTCAGGAGCTCGTTATGCCTCTGACTAGATTCCATGCACACAGCCATAGCAGCTGGATACTGAATGCAGAATGACACAGGATCAAATCTAACCCATCAGTTTTCCTAACGATAGGGAATGAGACAGTGGAACAGGATGAGGAGGAGTGACATCAATAGAGGCATCAAGTCTTCAGCAAGTTCCTGTTGCCTCCAGGGAATTCCTGTCTGGGGACTACCTCATGTAAGGTTGCAAGGGGTTACAGCAGATAGGAGGAGGTAAGGACAAAGGAACAGCCTCTGTACATGATATACTTCCCTACTGATTTTATAGGATAAGCCTGGGAGTTAAGGTGGCACAAAATACAGCATAATAAAGTTTAGGTCAGATCCCTTCCTTTGCAATGTTGGAAGATTTTTAAGAACAATATAGAAGAAAGTCAATCATCTGGAATAATTAGTGTCACCATTATTCTAATCTAGATAATCACTTTCTAGATAAGCAAACACCATAGTATGAAATGCTGATACTAAAAGCAGCGAGAAATAAAATGTATTGTTCCAAGTAATGTTTTAAAATTACAAAGCGGTGGTAAACAAGCAATGCACAGTTGTCTCATTGATAATCAAAATCCAACTGCAGGTCAATGGTTTTGTTAATATAAAACCTTCCTATTAATTGACTTCCTGGGTAATTGACTCCTATTGAACTTTAAAACAATGTACCTTGCATATATAAACTACACTAAGTTGTTATTACTTAGCCAACTAAAAGAAAAAATCCAGCTTCCCTTAGGTCATTTGTCACTAAGGATTTCCCTTTTTTACAAATACCAGCCTTCTTCCCCAGTTTGCTGAGGAAATAGTGCTGTTTAAAAAAAGTTGCAGGAATAATTTTTATTATGCAAAGGAACGCTCATAGTTCTCAATATGATTTTTTGCAATCTTTCTACCTTCAGACAGAGAGCAGATATGGAAAATTTCTGAGAAATTAAAAAAATATTCTTTCAATTAGAGCCACTTAATCATCCTTAACTATAACTGGAGTACAATCTGCTAGCAGTAGCAAGGTTTTGATACCGCTGCAGTATGCAGCTTTATAATACTTACTATGTTTTCAGTGGACACTGTGTATATATTAGTTAATTGCCTACTGTGTCCTCCAGATACCATGTAATATAGTGCATGCATTAATAGCTCTACCAACCATATAATAAGGTGTGAACAGCTGACGTAAAAAATAATCACAGTAACACAATGACCCTGAAACTGTTGCACAACTCCCACTGGAATTAATAGGCAGCAGTCCCTTAAGTGGTATGGAAAATCTTGGCTTAAAACTCTATTCCTCTATTTTTTATTTATCAGGTATTATTGCAATGTTTGATCCCATAAAGAACATAGAGTTTCAAACAACATACAGTCTAAGGCCCTAATTCTGAAAATGCCCAAAAGTAATTTTGCACATGCAAAACCATTCCAGTGAATTCAAGGAAACTGCTCACATGTCATAAAGCTGCTCAGGTGCATGTTTACAGGCTTAGAGCAATAATTGAACAGCACTGTAGTGACATGCCAAATGATGGAGCTAATCTCAAAGCAGTTTGGGTTCAATGCTATATTAAAGTTTACATTAGAACTTGTGGTGATATTCTCATCCTATTGAAATCCATAGGAGTTTTGCCATTGATTTGAATGAGAGCAGGATCTGACCCTTGTTGCTTTCCAGTTGAGGTGGTATGCTGAAGAAGGTGCTTCAAGATCAGGGGAAGCATGACAGAAAGTAGGAAAGCAAAAGTGTGAGGAGAACCCACAGGGGTGTTTAGGAAGAGATAAAAGTAGAGATACAGATAGGGGCAGTATTGTTCAGAGCCTCCAATGAAGGTGAAGATGGGAAGTTGCAATTTGATGTCAGTGTGAAGGGAAAGCCAAGGGAGGGAGTGGTGTGGTAGATGTCAAGAAGTGCAATTTTGGTGGTGGCTTCTAGATAGTGTAGAGTATTGTAGGCTTTAAGCTGTTTAATGATAGGATAGTATAGAATAGCTTGTATTTGCGTGAGTGTAGTTTGGTTAGGAGAACAGGCAAGAGAATGTCACAAGGTGTGAACCATTTTTGAAAATTCAAAAAAGATGCATTGAGAAGCTAGAGTAAAGACTGCAAGTACAATTAGTACAATTGTCTAAAGTACAGTTAGAGGTTTGGCTATAGACAAGGCTAACTTTAGACAAGCTAAAGCTTATATAGGTAATAAGAATAAGCATATGAATATTCATTGGAGTAGCACCTATTAGGAACCCTTTTTTATATTTTGTTTACCTTATTTAGTAAGCTTTTTGATATTTTAGCCAAGCAATAGAGTATAAAAACCAGGTCCACTTTGGGATTTTTTCTTTTTGGTCTTGAACTACAGATCTTGCTGAACTGCCCGCTTGCAAGTGTACCTGGCTAGTGGCATTTAGCGACTTAGTTTTTAGAATCTTAGGTAAGAAGGCCTTTTCCTTAATGGGCTGGCCCCTGTTAGAAGTTTTTTAAGACTTTAGGACTTTGACATTTTAAGATTAAATTATTTTCAAATATTGATTAGATAGGCCAAAAATGTGCATTTTATACACTTTAATAATTTTTTGGATATGCCTTATCTATACTGTCTAGTCATGTATACCTTTTATTTATTTTGCTATTGAATTTGCTATTAACATTTTCGGTATTCTTATTTTGTGAGTATTTAATTTTGATGAGACTGATTCTTCAAACCTTTCTTGGTTCTCAAAATCCATCTGAAGGTCAACTATAGATTGCATGGGTTGGAGTGAGAAACCATAAGAACAGAGAACAGAAGGTTACATAAGTGGAGAGTTGACCAGGGCTTGGAGAAGAACAAGTAGTAAAGAGAAGATAGAAGCATTTAGAGACTATTAATTATGTGATGTAGCTACAGAATAGTTATAGCCATGATTATTGAGGTAACATTATTATACTTATTCAATTCCATAGAACAATGTAGAATAACATTACCCCAATAATCATGGCTATAGTTATTCTGTAGCTACATCACATAATTCATAAATGGCCATAGCAGAAATGCTTATGGTGCAGTCCTGTCAGATTCCAGCAAATCTGTAAATACTGCTATACCTTGTCACAAGGACATGGAGAAGGAAGGAGGGAAGGATTCCATGGAGCAAAATAAATAATTTTATAGGAATCAAATCTTTTATCTCATTTTCCTAAAAATATTGGGTGAAGCTGCTTTACTTCAGTAGAAGTAGTAGCATCTGACTCATGAATTAAGAATTATGTTTTAAATTGCCTGCAAATATTTGTATTAAAAGTCAGATATAGGTTTAGGCTCTGCTTAACAATAATGCTTGAAAGCCTTGTTCATCATCATTTTCATAACAATGCAGTCCTGTCATCTTTCATTCAGATGGGGCCATGTATTGAATGCAGAACGATGGTGCCGATGAACATGCCCTCTTGTATTGTATGTGAGGCCCCAATAGCTCCACAATTGCAGCCCCAAGCCAGCATCTGCTTAAAGGTAAATATGATTAAATGAAACTAAGAAGTAATTTACCAAGTAGTCTGTATGATTCGTATAGGTGATTTTGTTAAAAATATATTGATCCTTTTTGGGTTTGTATAAATATGTTGCTACTGCTTAAAGGGTTAGTAGGATTTAACACATTTACAAAGTAGTAGCTGTCATTAAAGACAGACCACATTAGCATGGCAGGGCATGTTATATGAGAGCACAAAATGTCAGCATTTTCTGTTCAAATAAGCAACGGGTGCACGTTCTTCTGTTCATTATAAAGTAGATTAGTTTGATTTATATAGTCGTTTATGCCTTACTTATAAGCACTTAACTCCAGTAAATCTGTCCTCATTATTGTGTTTACCTCATCTGATTGTGAAATATTACATGAGAAGGTACAGGTGGTGCAGTTACTGGATGTGGGATTTGGCTTGACATGTTCAAGGAGGTGTTACTGTAGTGGGGATAGCAGGAGTGATGCACTGTGTGCCAGGGGGTCATGGCTAAGGGACATTTCCAGGAAGGGCATGATACTGAAGGGCTGGTGCTGAAAGGGGAATGGTGTGAGTGAGGACTATCAGGCAGTGAACAAAGGAAGCTCACTACTTGAAAGTAGTTTTCTTCTGGATGTCAAAGGTCATCATTGTCACAGCTACTTTTCCACTCTTTGAATGGCTTAGGGCAGCCTGAATGTAGATACAAGAACAAACCTAAACCACTTGATGGTGGCTAGTGAGGACACAAGCTATAGTACAGAATTTGTCATGCTTGTGATTCCTAACGTAAGTGGAAGCTGAAGGTCCCTAGGTGTAATGAAGGTTGACCAATGAGATCCTTCCAGGCAGCATGCTTCAAAGTTGGAGGCAGTTTTCCTTTGATTTTCCTTGCAAATGCTGGCCTGTTTGTAAGAAATTATGCACAACTAACCAAACTGTCATTACTCATTAGTCTGTAAACAGCTCCAGGGGAGCACTGATACCGGAGCTCCTCCAGCATATGTTCTACTACTTTAACAACACTGCCACCAACTCAAGATCTGCATGATGGTCAGGCAAGATGACTTAAGTGGACCTGACAGTTTAAATGTTACTGGAACATTATGCCACATATTTGAGAAGGTTCTTCCTTTTGCAGGACTTAAGCTGCTTACTTACATATGTCTGCAGGATTGATCCCTTATAGAGTAGATAGCTTGTTTTTAACGTTACTGTCGTTCACAATTTAAATCTATCCCAGTGAAATGTGTTTTTAATCTGTATTTTAAAGGGCAAGGTAATTTGTCGGGTGTGTGGCACAGGAAATCCTATTCACATTAAGCACTGTGTGACCTGTGAAAGCAAGCTGCCTGACTCACAGATGGTAAGGTTTCCTGCACATAACAACAATGCTTGGCTGTGCTTAGAGTCAAATCCTATCCCTATCTGGGCTCAGGCACTATTGGGTGAAAGGGTTTACATCCCAAGTAGAATTCTTACTTAGCACCCAACAGCACTTTGTCTGGAATATCAGCTCCCATCTCCAAAAGACACTTGGGAATTCCATTATGTATCTTCTATTTTCTTTCAAAGGAGTTAAGGTTGTAAATGATACTATCTCCGTCTATAACGTGCTTTGAAAATATGCATTTAAAAGTAGTGGTCTCGGTTCAAAGTGTCCTTAATTTTCCAAGGCTTGTTTGCATTCCTTTTTCTTTATAATTGCAGTAGAGTTTAAATCTAAACAGCAGGGAACACCATTCACAACAATTTAGAATTATATGTGCATTAACCTTTTAATTATTTCTACTATCTCTGCTTTCTGCTCTCCCCATCACCTTACAGCTGCTATGCTTATATTTGACTGTGACTCTATGCAGAGGTGAGAGAAGCCACAGTGAATGTTCTCCCTAAAATTGCTGTCTTTGTCACTTCATACTTTAGCTGTGTTCATTGGGCTGGTTGGAGTGGTTTTTATTTTCCACACCTTAAGAAAAAAACCTCATACAAGCCCAATGCGTGAGTGTTATTTTTCTTAGGTATTGATAGATAGATACTCAGATGGGAGAAGACAGTATTGATTTGGACATCATTTTCTATTGGCATAGTGGCAACAATGCTAGATCTTAGTTAAAACTGCCAGGACATTGATTAGACATTTTCTGTACTAACCATTATAGCCTTGCTTCAAAATCAACTGATTTAGAACTACTGACATGCACAGAGTTAAGCAACATGCTTAAATGCTCTGCTGAATGTGGATGGTATTATTCAGCTACTTAAAGTTAAGCATGTGGGTAAGTTTTTTGTTGAATTAAGGGTTCAGACTGTCTGTGATGGCTGAAAGAAAAAGCTGAGAGTTTTGTACGAATACGATGAAGTAGTTTTAAGACATGACCTATTTTAGAACTGTTCTAAACACAAGGTAAATATTCACTTCTCTTTTACCTGGAATTAAAACTCACTATTGCTACAGGCTGCAGACTAAAACAGTGCTGTAGTGCTCAATTTCAAATATCAGAACACTTGGACTTCTTTAGTTATCATCCATAGTGCTGATTTCCAAAGAAATAATAGTAAAACAACATAGGACCCTATGGTAAAAGGAGTTAGAGTATTTTAAGTTGTTGTTATACTGACGATTGTTTATAATAACGTCTGTCAAAGGTTTGACTGAAAAATCTGAATTAATTATTGGAGGGTTAATTGGAGTGCTAACCTGATGACAGAGTCAGCAGCAGAACATGAAAGATCCAAATAAAATGGAAATATTTGAGCTATCCCACTTTCCTCCCACCAGTTTCCACATTCAAAGAATCACACACACTTTGCAAACAGAGCAAAAAAATAAAGACTGAATTTTGGATCTTAAAAGTGTACATTTGTCATATGTTATAGAGAATGTAATTTTTCATTTAAAATTCACCTGGAAATACAGAAACATGATGATAAGTGGTCAGTTAAAATAGGACAAGTATGTAAGGAAATAAATGGTGTATTATTTCAAAGAGGGCAAATAATGGAAAGTTCAAAAACATATAAAATATTTAAATTAAAAACACATTATTGTGAACTTTAAATGAGAAAATTATGGTACACAGATCAAAATAAAACCAGTGATGAGTCACAGCTGAAAAAAGTCCTTTAGGCTGAATATTGCTTCATGCTGTCAAATTGGCTTGCTTTTCTCCTCCTCTTACTTAACATGTGCTTTTCTTTAGCAGCAGGCTGTATGTATTTTGTTCATAATTCTTATTTTGCTTTACTAGCCTGTGTTCAATGGAGATACACCCCCTCCTTTACCCATGCAGTTTGGAAAAACAGTATCCTGCTCAAAGTGTGGTCGTGCTAACCACTGCGATGCTCGTTTCTGTGACTGGTGTGGAGCCAAGGTATGCGTTTCCAGGTGTGGGCTTTTGTAGAAAACTCTTTTCTCTTTCTGTTTTAATTGGCAATAAGCATGTGTGTTGACAAGTCAGGTTTTACTCATCTATGACCTGCAGCAGTTCCATAGCTCCATTCCCAAGAATATTGTGGGTTAGAACGTGTTTTTTTCTGTTATTATTAAACATGTATGTAAAGAGCCATATTTGTGCAGTGAACAAAGAACACGTAAAGGCACAGGGTGAAATCCTAGTCCCATTGATGTCAATGCCCAAACTCTCACTGACTTCAAGAATAACCATATTTCCTTTGTGGTCTCTGCCCAAAGGAGCTTTTCCCTAGAAAACCATATTTCCTTTGTGGTCTCTGCCCAAAGCTGCTTTTCCCTAGACCAGCCAATGTAAAATTGTCTCCATGTCACCTACTTCTGTATTTCTGAGATAGATTCATTCCCACCAAGGCAGGGAAGCTCAAAACCATATCATCTTCTGTCATCTGAGGCCCTGTAAAATTAGAAACTCTGCTATAGATATAAACAATCTGTAATCACAGGTCTCTACAATTATACTATGACAAGGGGAGGGGCAGAGTGAAACTGAATATTAATTGGGGTGTTTTGAAGTAGTGATGACAGAGTTTCCCAGAGGAGAACAACCTTTTAAAATTCTATTTTATATGTTAAGATTGGCAGACCTGGAAACTAGCCTACTTACACACTGGTTCCATTTGAAAAGCCTTGCCTCTGTATGCAATAGCAGTGAGAAGGTTGATGGTGATTTTGTTTTGCTTTTGTCAGATAGGGTTCTGAAACTACAACTAAGGTCACCAGTCTAAGTTGTAAGTCCTGTGGTTTTTTGCTTACTCTGAATTCAAGCTGACTGTTTTATCAGTGCTTAATTCTGAGAGTACAGAAGATGAATCTTCCTTGTGATATGCTTATCTATAGTGACAGCTGCTTTGCTGTACTCCCCAGCCAGGTCCTCCTCCTTGCTACTTTGCTTGCTTCAAGTGTGGTGCAAACAACCATCCATATGCTCGATTCTGTGGATCTTGTGGTGTTTATATTGAACCTGTATCAAAACCAAGCTCTCAGAATGGCATGCTGTTGGGCGCCGGAGACTCCTGCATATTTTCTCAGGTAAGCCAATGTTTCATACTAGGCTCTGATCCCTGTACAGACACTGGGTCATGTCCTCAGCAAGTACAGACTGGTACAAATTCGCATCCTTCACCTGAGACTACCATGATTTCTTTATAGAGTCTATGACAGACATTCTCTCGGCAGAAAAAAGAAGTTAACTTCATTGATAGAACTGTTAGCTGCAGAGAGTTACTCAGCTCTAATTATTACTACTTATAATTAAATGAGGCCAACTTCCTTTCTTGTTAAAGTCTGAGCTTTCTAAATACTTTTTTGTGGTTGTGACATCATCACTCATGTATGTGCCTAATTTAAGGGTATTTTTGATAAATAAATATGCCATGTTTAATTTTAAAAGATTTTAGAGAAAGTGATAATACATAGTCAGCCTTTCAATATTTTTATGGTGTCAGAACATAAATTCGTTTCTATTAAGAAGTAAGTTGCATGTTTCTTAAGTCTTTGCGATAAATGATATCAGCATTTTTACCAAGTGTTAATCGTAACCAGGAATTATCACAATTCCTTCTGAATACTGTTTGCTTTTTTGATAGCTTTTATTTTCTAGATTTGTTTTTACAGACAATGTTTCTTTACTTCTTGGGTGTTTTTCTTTGTGCAAAGTGATGTAACTATGCATTTTTACTGTTATCTTTCTTGTCATCTGGACTTTGATTTTTCCCTATAGGTTAAAGGGTTACAGACTCAAGCTGCCTGGCAATCTCTGGCTGTTGCATTGCCCAAACCCAAACTAGATTTATCAGAAAGAAAAGACAAAGGAACCCAGACCATTGGCCTGTTTTACCCATCAAGTAAACTCTTGGAAAAGAAGGAACTTGAACTAGTTTCTCAAAAAGAAAAGGAGGAGAAGATGAGTGATCATAAGCCTCTCCTTACAGCCATCAGTCCTGGAAGAGGTTAGAAATAATCTGATTGCACATGGTCCTCACAAAGATTTTCCCTTGGTTCTGAAACAAAACTACAGTGCTTTACCTTATTTTTTCTTAAATTGGTTCCTATGTGGACTACATATTTCCTAACAGATGGTCTTTTACAAAATTACTCTGGTCTTCCTCTACACTCAGAACTGTAAAGCCAGAGCTTGGTGCTTTGGCTTGAGGAACCAAATCCCAAAACTTTTCCGTTAATAACTAACAAGAGGAAGGTATCATTCCAGCATAAACTACAGTTTATGGTCCTTGTGGAGTCATACCACTTGTCAGATTTGGTGAGATCATAGCCAAGTTAAGGATTAGACATGGTCATAATTTGGACTGGAGACTGTCAAGGAAAATCCATGTTTCCTCAGAAGGTGGTATTCATTACATAAGCAGTATTATTTCTTTCAGCAGTAAATGCCTTGAGGGGATATTGTGTCACTAGATATATTGTCTTTTGGAAGATATGTAAAAGCTTGTCTACCTGGGGAAATTTACTGGAGTGGCTGTTGTGAAATAAACTAAGGATGTTCTGGAAGAAGAGATAGCTAGATTGGAAAGGAGCATTCTTATTTCAAAGTAACTGTGTCCAGACATACATACACACACAAATTCAATGCATTGGCTGTCTATAATCATTAACATTTTATAAGATTAGAGATTTTAGCCCCAATGTCCTGGAAACATTCCAATGTAAGCTGAAATAGAAGTTTTAGGCTGCATCCACACAAGCGTGGATATTTGTTTCCCCAGGGACAAGGAGCAACAGTACACCTTGTGCCACTGCTAGTTGTCCCTGGGGAACTCCCATGCCATGTGCCCTCTGGCACGTGGCAGGTTACCCCAGGTGGGGTAGGGGAGGCTGGAGCCAGCACTTGGCTGGCCCCAACAGCCTTACCTGGGGCCCTGGAGGCTTCCTGGGGCTGTAGCAGCAGTGATCCTGCTGCTCAGAGCCTCCTTGGCACAGGTGCACCATACCTCCTTGGTGCAGGTGCAGACCCAGAGGGGGTGTGCTTGATTGTGTCGGTGGCAGTTGGGTCACAGGCAGCTGGGTGTCCCCAACTGCCCCTCTCTATGTCTCCAGGCCCTCAGGGATACAACCAAGTGTTTGGGTATGAAGTACCCTTCCTCAGGCCTTGGAGAAAAAAATCCCAGCTCTACCTTCGTGGTATTAATGACTCTTTCAGCCCTTTTCCCATATTTTGTAAATTTGCAGGTAAGGCAACATTATTACCTGGGAAATAGCTCTTATATTAGATCCATCCCTGTAGTGAAATGCAGTACGTGACTTAACATGCCAAGGTGTTTAATCAGAGAAAAAGTTAAGGGACTGGCCCTGAATAGCCCTGAAAAAATATTTAACTCTAAAGACTTTTACATCCTTTCATTGACAGTGCAGTTTTCAACTCTTGAGAGATTGAGCTCCTTTCACCAGGCTAAGCTGGGAAGAAGCTTTGAATTGCCATGAAAACTTGCTAATTTACATATCTTTAGTCAGCAGAGGTGTCTTTGCTGGAGGCTTATTAGTAAAGGACAGAGGAGTTCTTTAGATTCTGCTGGGCCCGTGGAACTGATTTTCTGCCACAGTTAAAGTCTGGCAACCATCAGAACTCAGGTTTCTGTACTGTCCACACTGTCATGCTGAGCTGCTTACTAGTCCAGAGACTCGTAACCAGAGTGCTAGTATGCAGGCAGCTCTCGGTTACGCTAGGCAGGTTGTTCATACTTTCTCTAATTCAAACTCCTATATTTGACTAGTGATATTTTAATTTAAAAAATGTAAACAATTAAAAATAAGTGGGGGGGTGGTTGTTGTCGTGTCGTGTTCCCCCCCGCCCCGGAATGAACTAGCCAGAAGCACTACATAGGCAGGGGAAAATGTAAAGGACAGTTTGGACAGGAAAATGAAATAGTGGGACTGAGGTGTCAGTTTTTTGGTCAATGGTACATTTTTTTTCTACTGTATTTCAGGCTGTTTGAGCAGGAACCAAAGGCATTCAGAAGCAAATATAACAAAAGAGCCTCCCCCTTTCCACTGCATGTACAGTAAATAAGTCATATCTAGGTGTAACCAGCTGCTGACAATATGAACTCAGGTGTTCCCTTCAAGGTTGCCAGAAATCCTTTTAGATACACCTCAAATGGAAGTAAGTAGCTTGGCACCACGTGGACACAAGCATATTTCTGGCGTCCTGATTTTCATGTAAAAGACAAGCAGCTCAGTTTAGGTTTAGCCTAATCTAATGCAACTGCAGCTGACTAACTGGGGGTAACATCTAGAAAATAGCAATTCAGCTGGGCATTTTTATTATGGTAACTTATTCTTTATTTCAGGCTCTAATTTAATTTAGAGCAAAAATATTTTAGGGGCCAGGAGGGATGCTGTGTAGATCACCTCTCCCCTTAGACTCCTCCCATATCCTTTCTCAACATGCTTCTTCAAGACTGTCAGGAAGAACAAGACCTGTTGTTCTGGTTTGTCGTGGTTTCTTCATGGCTGATGTTGGACATTTGTTTTTCCTCCGAAGTCTGCTTTGCTTATTTTCCTCCAGGAGAGGAATGATTAGAGAGCTATTCCTTTTGTTTAGTCTTTGCTTTCACTCTTGTTTATTTAATTAACATTTATAACACAGTCATGTCTGGAGGCCCCTGTTGAGCTGGGTCTTATGTGCTAAATGCTGTACAAGCTAGTAGGAAGCCAGAGCCCACTAATTTTAACCCAAATACATACCATTTTGGTACAATGTAGCCTATCTAAGAATTATCAACAGAATGCAGAGAGTCCACAAAGTCTATTTTCCTTCCTGTACAGTATAATTGTCTTGTACTGTCAAAGCCATATGGCAGGACTTATTTTCTGACTTGGCTTCATGTATGTACTGCGATCCTCTATCAATGCTAAGATTGGCAATGGTAAGGTCAAGGTGACTTCTGTATTTCAGTTAAAGGAGGCTTGTTGTCACCTACGTGATTTATTTACAGCAAAAGGATTTGTACTTTCTGTACTTTCCCTAAGTGCTCTCTAAAATAAAGCTGGTCAGATCCTGATACTCAAACACTTTAGCTTCAAAGGAAATCCTTCTTTCCTGTTCTTCATTAAAATTCGAATATAGCGTTGAAAATATTGGATTTGAGCTGCAAAATCACTTGAAACCCCTGTAGTCTGAGTTATTAATAATTATTTAGATGGTGGCAGAATCTAAAATATCCTAGACATTGCCTAAACATGGAGTGCCCAGACCCTATCTCAATGTACTGAACAAGGAACAGATGGAAGACTGAGGATAGAGGTACAAGATACAAGCAGACCAGTCAGTATGGGGCACACTTAATACCAGTTCCAGTGGTATTGTTTTTTGATTGCTGTATGCATAAAATGTGTCTGCCTGGCATGAGCTGATTTCTTGTAGCTTCAGTAGCGGGTCTTGAGAAGGATTCTGCAAGATGAGAAGGCAGTTGTCAGTCCTGTTAGCCTTGGAATGCATTTCAAGAGGAGGATTAGATGGAGGAAAAAGCAAGGAGAGCTGAGCTATTGAGCCAGCATTGCTTTGTTAGCATTCCTCCCATTCCCTAAAAACTGTGCATCAGAGTTCATCCTCCACTCTACTGTGCTTCCTGATTTCTCAGGTATGGTCCTCCCTTATAAGCAATTTGTCAAATAATGTAGTAGGTAATACAAACTAGAATGGGTTACGTTATATGCAATTTTCAGAGTTGGCTTGTGTTTTCAATTTCACTGTGCTCTGCAGAACTAGTCAAGTTTACTGAAAACCAGATCAGTAATTCATGCTAATTAAGTCTTAATGCTAGTTTGTTTAGCTTGTTTCTGGAGTTGATTCCCTGTCTCACAGGCTAGATTGAGTCTATAGTCTAGAGGATCTCAGCTGTTTTGGACTCTCAGAAGAAATTTGACTTATTGTTGCCCTCCATTTCCGAAAGATAGTACATTATTTTACTCTTTTAAGGGGTGAAATTTCTCTCTTCTTCTTCCTTGGTCAGCTGAATCTGCTAACAAAAACCCAATGCTTTGTCCTGGTCAAGATCTGCAATTCTTTAATCACACCAACACAACAGTTATTGGTAAAAATTACAGAATATTTTCTTCTGCATAACTCCCTCCTTGTAGGTTACTGGAGAAAGCAGCTGGATCATATCTGTGCTCACCTTAGAAGCTATGCTCAGAACCACCCAGAGTTCAGGGCTTTGGTTGGGGAACCTCGTATGGGAAAGGTAAGAAATACATTTGTGGCTAGCATTCTACCTGTGAAGTATCCCAGAATGCTTGAAAAGAAAATAAATCCGATAAAAAGCCATTCTTTTGTCCAGAAAATAGCATCTAAGTAACTGGAAAATAAATGTACTCTTATTGCCTTTAGTCACCTATGTGGGTTTTCATTTCTTTTTAATTTTTTCCCCCTGCTTGCTTTCTCTCATTCTCCTTGTTGTTCTCATTTTCTCACTTCTTTCAATCTATTCCATTGTCTGTCTTAGTCATCTACTCAGTTCTTTCTGCTTTCTCCCTGAGTGTAGTTCCTTTATGTCTCTCACATATCCTCTTTAGAAATGCATCAAAGCTAAAGGAGATAATAAAAGCGTCAAGGCTGCTGTGGACCAAGAGCAGAGTCATTGTTCAATTTACCATATATCCCAGGGCAGGTGATTTAGAGAGTGAGAGAAAGAATGGAATTACGTGTGCAGTGAGTTAGAACAAGGCTAGTTTGCTATTTTAAGTTATCATCACAAGTAGGATTTAGTGTATGGTTCAGGGCTGAATTTCACCAGTAGATAGCAGTAGTTCCCTTTGTCTTATGTATTATTTGTACTGAAAACGGTGCTATTTGAAGTACTTGGCTTGTGCATATTAGAGAGATTGTTTTAATTAACGTCACCAAACAGTATTAAAGCGGTTATTTGTGACTGTATCGTGGCATATTAAGGAGGTGGGGATTTGAGGCTCCTCCCTTGTGTAGTGCTACTGAACACAGTCACTAACAGGGGAAAAAACTCACATCGAACAGAAACAAGTGGAGAAAATGGAAGTGCTCCACGTATGATCCAATGTGAGAAGGAGAAAGAATCTCATGGGCATTTCCCATATGTCATTTTCTGGAAGCAGGATGCTCCAGCACACCTATTTTGGGACTGATTTTTAGTTCTGCTATAAGGCCCCATTCTGGCAGTGAAAAGGAATCTTAATGTGGATATAAATGTGGTATGTACTATGTGGAGATAAGATTCAAGACCACTGGACATTACTATTATTATTTCTTTTTGTTAAAGGGTTCAGAACTGCAGATACCTGAAACATAGAAAATACCTGAGCTGGGGATATTTCTGCAGTTTCTTGGTCTTTGGCATCCTAGTGTAATGAAACTGTTGCTAAGAAAAGGATCAGGGATTATTTAGGGAAGGTGCCAAGTATCTGCTCTTTATTTACACTTCTTACTAATTTTTCATGCATTGTAGAAATATTATGATAAATTGCACCCAAGTTCTCAGTCTTCTCCCATGCCACTTGTTTTTGTAGTCTTGTCAACTTTGGCAAGGTGATAAGATCTTGGCTACTTTATTTGTTTATCGGCCACTTTATTTATCTATTCCTTTAATTCCATTTTATATGCTGCCCTTCCCAATAAAGGCTCATGGCAGTTTACAATAAGAGGACAGAATAATTTATAAAATGGGAAAATGAACAGGACAGCAAAACTAAACAGAACGCTTGCCTAATATGTCCCTTTGTAGATTTTATTTAATAAATAACTGTGCTTTACCTCCTGAGATTTACATAAGGTAGAGCTGGCACACAAGAAAGTACCCATGGTTCCTGCCCAAAACTAGCTGCATCTCATAGCTGCAGTTATGCTTGTACAGCAGTCTGTTTGCAACCCAGATTGTACTGTTACAAGCTGGTGTAACCCAAATAGCAGTTCCCCATTGGTAGTAAGCAATCCTGGACCAGGATGGCACAAGGTACCCCAGAAACCAGGCCCCAAGGGTCTGGAGCCTTGTGTCAGCCCCAGAAGTGAGCAGGCCACAGGACAGATTCAGTTAGATGTCCATACTTAGCACCAGTTTTCCCTTGTGGTAAGCCCTGCCTAGCTTGATTATGTTCTATACTCCGTGCACTAAAGTATCTGGGCATAATTGCCTCTGCAGATGCAAAATGTGTGGAGGGGTATGTATGTATAAGTGACACCTTTCTGTGACAGGTGTGAATCTTGTCCATGGTCTGTTAAACACTTTGGAATTAGAGTGTAAGGTGTCATTAATATCAGTTTTAGACAAGTTTGACATTTTCAATCATTCAGGTTTTTCCAGTTATCTCAAAATACCACCTGTTATTAATTCTCACCCTAGCACTCAGGTGAGATGGTAGTTAATATTGGTACTGTACTATAAGTGTGTATTATTCAACTGTGAACTATTATTATTTCTTCAGTGGTCTAGTTGATAAATGTCAGCTTACCAGCAGGATTACTTAACATTCCTGAAGCACTCTTCCTGTACTTTTATTGAAAAGGGATGATAACTTTTATTTTTTTCCTTTAGATTATTTCTGCTACAGTCCATGAGGATGATTATGAAGTCAGTATCAGATTAAATTATGTTCTCGCCACAAACAAGGTCAGTTTGGGAAAACAGGTACATCCTTAGAGAAGTGGCCCCCTGGAGCCCATAGCCATTGTTTGACAGCTCACTCCCGCAAGAATGCATATTCCAACCAAATATTTCTGTTATTGAGGGTGTTAATGCATCACTTCAGAAAAAGAAATCTTGACTTTTTCTGCTTAAACTGGTAGAACAGGTATCCTTGTCTGATTAAACCAGACTTCAGGGTCATGTAGCTATCACTTTGCATTTAGTGCAAAGGCATTTATTAAGCTTGCTGTTAGCATCCTACTTTCAACTGACAAAGTTTTAAATAGCCTTAGTACTGCTTTCCTCCTGTTCAAGAGTCTTCCTTTTCTTCCGTCTGCAAGTAGTGTTCTTGGGACACAGGTTTTCTAATTCTAAATACAGCTTGGAGACAGCACTTGCCAGAACTTTGGCTAATTATAAGTTGAAGTGCTGGATTTTCTTCCCTAATGTTAATTTGCTTAACCATGTCCTAAAGAAAAGCTAGAAATGTTATTCACAACCCTTTCAAGGCATTCAGTTAAACTCAGATTCCTATTAGATGATATACTGAGATGCTTACCTTGATGAAAGGTGCTTAAAAATGTATGTGTTTGGATTCTTATTGCTATTACCTCATTTGATAGATAAGCAATAAATTAACAGGATCTCTTAGCTAACATGAATGGTTTTTTCCTTGACTTGAATTGTCATTTCATAATTCTGAGACTGTTAACATTTTTGCAGTAAAACAAATATAGAACAATATGAAGTTCATCCTACACTGCAGCTAATTTGAGATTGAAGACATTAAATATCTGTATATATTTTCATATGTATAACCTCCTCCCATTTCATGCTATTAAGGATTTTACACAGTATTACATGATATTCCAATTAAATGTGTGCATTTTATTATTCCCTAGGGTATTCTTACAAGCAAACCAATAAAGTTTGACAATCATTATCTAAGCACTGTGACAGAAGGCAGAGATGGCCTATATGATAGTCAGCCTAGTTTAGGTGAGTGTTCCTGTGTCTTTGCAGTCTGTCAGAAATATAGCTTTAGCTCTCAGAAGTTTAATGTTGGATGCTAACATTGATAAATTAATCCTTTTTCAGACAGTGTACACCAGGGGTCAGCAACATTTTTGGAGAGTGCCAAAAACACCTGCAACCACAAATTGTAAGATGTTGATGTGATGGGGCAGATAGTGGGGGAGCTGCAAGGGGCCCAATCCTTGTTGTGGCAGCGCATCCCCAGCCCCTTCTCCACCATCCACGCTGAGACACACATGCCAAGCAAAATGCATTTGTGTGCCATACTCTGGCACCCATGTCGGGGGTTGTCTACCCCTGGTGTATACCACATATGCTGGTACCATTTTTGCCATTTAAAAATTCAAAATAGGACTTATACAATATTTAAGTGGTGTATAGGCTTACACAAGCATTGCTGAGTTCTCACAGACATTGAATTTCATCCACAGAGAAGAGCTGAAAAGTTCAGCAAGCTGCAACTTAAGCTTAGCATGCTGTTTTTATCCAAGTTATATTAATGGCCAGTGACTGTATGGCTCCCACTAGACAGTAATATATCAGAGCCATGTTTGTTATTCATTTTGAGCTGTTGCTTACAGAGTTTAGGTTTTGCTACAGTGGACAAATAAAACAATCTGGTGACCCAGTTTGCAGAGGAACTATATTGACACTGCTTCTATTGGCTTCAGTAAGAGGTGTGATTGCCTCTTACTGAATTTTGGTATTTTGCTGGAACTGTCATTGCCTACAAGGTCAGCACTAGAATCCATTAATTACTGTGTCCTTATTTTTTTAATGATTGCATAAATGCCTATCAGTGTCTTTTAATATTAGTCCTAATTGTAAACCTGTTGATCTGCAGTTTGGGAATGGCAGGCAATGCATTAAGAGCTAATTGGTTTTCATAGCTATTAAGAGCTATTTAGATTCCCATGTACTTCAGCTGAAATGCACTCCAGTGCAAATGGCCAGCACGAGTTAATCTCTTTCTAAATGTAGCTCAGGTTTATTTGCTGGACTTCTGTACAGTAATGGATTTACCCTGCCCAAGCAATTGCACTGTATGTACCACATTTGCCTCTTGAATAGAAGCCTGGGTAATTTTTTTAAATTAATCATTTGCTAAAAAATGCAGTTTGAGGACAGATGAACCCATTTGCAAGTTTAGCAAATAGTTTTAGCTGGAAACATCTGAAAACAAAATTCTGGAAAAGTCAGAGCATGTTTTTTCATTAAAAAAAAAAAAGAATGTTTTTGTTTCAGAATTTTGCCTAAGCTTAATTGAGGGTTTGTTTTAAGTTAATAACCCAAAATGAAATAGAAACTTACTTTTTTCTGTTTTCATTTGGCCCCAAGCAAGAACTGCTTCTGATGTATTGCTTTGGCCATCTTATTGAATAATCAGTTGATTGCATACCCTAGTTCTAAGTTCTTGTTGCATTACTAGAATTGCTTTGAATTTTAACACCAAATTCTCCCTATTTAGTGAGTGAAGAGGGTCAAATCTCAAGCCCTAAAGGAAAAGTAAAAAGAACAAAGAAGACAAGAAAATTTCTAGAAAAAGAAGACAAGCTGCCCGTATGTATTTCCTACAGTCTTATAGTTTGAGTGTAGGAAGGAAATTTGAGTTGCAGAAGTGCTAACACTACATCCAAGGGGATACCGAAAGGAAAAACATTTTTTGAAACACTGATTAGGGAAAGCATTCTATGTGGAAAAGAACTAAAAGTGTTCTGAAAAATAAGGACTGCCCTTGCCAAATAAAAATAGTTGGCTGATATACATAGTTTGCAAAAACTGGATTTAATCAAACATCTTCCCACTCTTTGAAAAACCATGTTTTAACTGTGCAGTTTTCATTTCTAATGAGAAAAATTCCCATCTGAACCAAATGCAAGTAGCTCAATGGAAGGATCTAAGCTTTCATAAAAACAGGGGCAGAGATTCTATCACTTGGTTACCTAACAGGAACTTTAATGCTTCAGAGAAGGTTGATTATTAAATGGAAACTTTTAAAGGGAAACTAGTGTTGACATATGGTCCTACCATTTATCCAACTGAAGGAGAGAATGGGGGAGAAATTTACCAAGTTACTTTGACTTAAGAAATACAGTACACACTGACTCTGTGAATGTAAGGCTTTCTTAAGAGAAAAAAATGATTTTCAGTGTAGCAATGTAAGCCCTTCCAGTCACTTCCACTCAGACGATACCTTATTTCAGCAAGCCACACACTACAGCATTTGAAAAGCAACAAGAAAAAGCTTTTCCTTTTTAAAGCATTTCATACAGTCCCAGCTGTTTCACAAACAGCTCTGCTTGTACTACAGTTCAGCCAGAAATGACTTTACCACATGTGAAAATCCTAGGAGGTGCTGTTTGCATAGGCTATTTCAAGTCTTTGGCTCCAGTTAATGTCACAGAGTGGCTCCAAGGGCTGGCAGCCCCCTCTTCCTTCTACTCATAGCCACAGAATAGAGTCCACATACCCAATCAGTACGCCAAGGTCTGAACTTTAGCCTCAGTGAACAATTAAAAAGGACAGTGCATCACAAACTGTATTTTTTTTTCACGCACCTTAAAACTGGAGTTTAGTTTTATTTGTAAAACAACATTTATTACACACACACACACACACACACACACACACACACACACACACCCTTCACTGTATGGTGGTAAATATCATGCCTCCTATTTTGTAAAAACAGGATGGTTTAGACTCTAATCCTATACACAATTACATGTTTAACCTGACTACCTTGAGTAGTTATTTATTTCAGTGGAACGGCTTGTGGTAACAAAGTTAAACATGTGCATAAGTGTTTGCAAAAGGGGGACCTTAGCTGTCTGTAGTGCCGTTGTTCACTCACTATTTGCTCAGAACTGGAAACAACTCTATTTACAGAAAATTGTGTATGGATTGGTGAGATTCAAATGTATAACATTTTCCCCTCAGATCTATTTACATCATCCTTCAGTTCAAGTTGTCTGCCTGTATCCAAGGGCAGAATCTGGACATGCAATCAGATTCTCACTATGTGAATCGTTTTGTTGTTGATTTCTGTATTTCCACAGCCTGAGGCTAGACAGCTACTGAAAGAAGTGGGCCCAAGTGGTGAGGGAAGAATTTCTATGGTAGAACAATTGCTCGATGAAGTAAGTTTAAAATTAGGCCATTTCTATCTCAGAATTTCAGGAGACAGTCCAGCATCTGTTTTTTTCATAAGCATTAAGTCATATTCATAAGTCATATTTATGACTTTTTATAATATTATAACCTCAGAAATTGTTCCTGGGAAGCCAGATCATTGGAATAAAGCACTTAAATGCTCAATTGTAAAGAAAATTTTAAATAAAACCATAAAGGAAATAAATTTACGTTTGGATACATTTCCCAAACTTGATGGTTAAGTGATGCTAAGGAGACTCCCTTGCCTCTAGCAACACTACATCATAAGAAAAGAATCCAAATCTGTTGTGAAGTCTCATCCTGTTATTTAGAACCAGATCTTTTACATCATGGCTGCCTAACTTCTGCGTGGTTGGGGACCGCAGACGGGGTGTCCCATACTGTAGGGGCCACATGCAGCACCACACAACACCCACCTCTTATTGTACATGTCCCCAGTGCATCTTGCTCCCCCAGCCACAGTGTCGTCCCCCCTACCACCATGTGGGTATGAAACCCAGTGCTCCATCCTTCTGTCACTGTACTACACTGGTGCCTTCATACTGCATGGGGGCTCCAGGTGCCCCTGAGCTTCCTGGCCCTGGGCTTCCTCAACCCAAGAGGTCATGCCACTCCACCTGACTCCCAGGAGCAGAGGGAGCTTGGGGGAATCCAGTAGCAGCAGCTGGAGACCAAAGTGGGGTGTGACACCCAGACTGGGAGCCCCAGGGCTTCATGTGGCCCAAAGGCCACCAGTTGGACAACACTGCTTTACATAATATGCAGACAACTGATGCAGTCTTGTGGAATAGAAACACCAACAGTGCATTCCGACTGCATTCTCATACACTGCACAGTATAATGCAAATATGGAGGGGTCTCAGGGGAAAGCTGGGTAGGAAATGATATGGCACTGGCTAAATCTATCAGCACATCCGTGCCACCCGTCTTGCCTGTGGTAGTAGCCACAGAGCAGCTGCAACATTAATCTTCCCTGCCACCCAAAGGAATTTGACCCTTTTTGCTTCTGCAGCCAGGTATTGTTTGCTATTACTATTTTTTGTGCTGCAGACAAATATTAGAGGATGACAGGAAATAGACACAAATTCATGAAAGTTCATTTCTCCAGGTTTGTGTGTTTCTCAACATTTTCTAAGCATTACAATATTTTTCACTGTGATGAATATGTTTGTTATATGAAAACAGGAGGGGATGTTGAAATGGATGATTAATTTAACTGCTAGTCTTCCTTTTCTCTACTTCAGGGAGCTGACCCAAACTGCATAAATAATGAAGACCGACCTGTTTTAACAGTGGCTGTCCTAAATGGGCATGATGAAGTGATCCCAGTTCTTGTGCAGAAAGGTGCAGATATTGACCATCAGTCAGGACCGTAAGTGATCATTCTCTAAACCAGTGGTCTCCAACCTTTTTAAGCACAAGAGTACTTTTGGAATTAAAGTGCAACCCAGGATCTACCTCAAACAATTGGAGCTCAGGCAGCTCATCCAGGGGTGTGGGGGGAGGAGGGCCTCTCGATGCTGCACACACCCTGGTGGGGGCCTGGGAAAAACATGCCCCACCCCCCCACCCAGTCTTTGCGTTGCCACTGGCCACAGAGGTGACTGCTATTGCACATTGGGGCTCTGTGCACTGCTGCAGCTGGCCTGGGAGTGGCACGATGCCACATGCCTACTGCCACTGGGCTGTGCCGTGCCCTGCCCACGCAGCAGTGGGATGCATGAGGCATCGCACCGCTCCCAGGGCAACTGTGGCAGGGACCAGAGCCCCAGCATGCAGCGGCAGCTGCCTCTACCCTGCACACAGACTGGGGGGGCACATGCCCCCTGGACCTCCTGCAGGGTGCACACAAAGCGGCAGGAGCCCTCCCGTGTCCCTAAATGAGCCACCTGGGCTCTGATTGTCCCATGACCTGGCCCAGCCAGGGCCCCACTCACCACAGCCCCTGCCTCTGCCCTGCTCCCTCCCTCACTGTGGGGGCCTCAATCTGCCCCCCCCTCCCCCCCGACTAAGGTGGCACCAGTTGCCCATACTATACCTATACATTTTGGTATTTGGAGTTTTTTATCATAGAAAATCAGAGCTACCCCTGCCCCCACAGAACACAGGTCCAGACCCCATTCCCAAGCCACAGCCCCCAGCCCTGCTGGTACCCTTGACTCTCCACTCACAGCTCCCTTCCTCCCCCTCTCCTGCCCTGCTGGAGAGGACCCCCAGCTGCCAGGGCTATAGAGCCAGGGACCCAGGTTCTGCAGCCCCCTGCCCCCTGCAGCAGCACCTGAGCCCTGGCTGCTGGCTATGGGAGGTAGCAACTGCTGCAACATAGTGGGGGGGCAGCTCCTTGCCACTGCACACACTCCCTGGGGGAACCTGTGTGCCCCAGACATGCGCATGGGGCAGGTGCAGGCTGGCCACTGTGGGCTCAGACTCCCTGCCCTGCTGCTGTCCCCTGGGGCCTCCACAGCCCAGTGGCTGGGACCCGGCACAGCAAGGCAGAGCGTGGCTGGGCAAGGAAGATCTTTGCCACTGCAAGCTCTGCACTGTCCTGGTAACCTGCCCCGCAGCAGCGAGGGGCACAACCACACACCGCTGCCGGCCTGGCAGGGGATGCCTTGCCAGGGCAACATGGGGCCTGCATGGCAAGAAGTTTCCTCGCTCTGCCCTGCTGTGCTGGGTCCTGCCCACTGGGCTGCAGAGCCCAGGGGAGAGCAGCAGGGTGAAGAGCCCACCCCCACCCTGTGCACAGGTTTGTGGGGGCACAGGTCCCCCGGCCTCCTCTCAGGAGTGTATAGTGACAGGGAGCCAGCCCCGACCCCGACAAGCTACTTGCAACTGCCCATTCCCTGCCCAGGGCCCTGTGGCTGCATGTTCCAGCCCCAGTCCCTTCCTTCCCCACTACGGGGGCCTCAACCCCCTCCTCCCTCCCTCTGCCAGACTTACCTGCAGGAGCTGCTCTCCAGGTTGCCTGGTGGCCACATACATATACATGCACATGGCACCCCCTGCCTAACCACCCTCCTCCCACTCCCCCCCAGCCCCTTGAAGGCTGGAACTCTGCCAGCCTGCAGCGAGCTCACTGCAAAATCCATGTTTCTGTTTAAATGAAACTCCACGTTTTCTTGGGTAAAAGAGGAAATCTGCATTTTTTTCTGTGGGAAACTGGAGTCCCAGATCCCTGTTTATCACCCCTTCCAAATGTTTCCCCTCTCTATCCCTGCCTGCTTTTCTTTCTTCTCTCCTGTCACCCTTTTCTCATTTCAATCCTTTTCTCCACCATTAGGAAAAGGTAGCATACAACTTGTTTTCCTAAGGTGACACTCTGCCCTGCCTTTTGCCTGACTTCAGGCTAACACAGCTAGCTACCTTGAACTATAAGTAGGTATAAGATCTCTTCATCCAATCCTTATCTGTCCCTTTGTTTTCCCATAGCAGAATGTGATTGACCACTCATATCAAACCACATGGTAAAATTTGATTCCTCTTGTTCAGGCATAGTAACACTGCTCTTCACGAGGCTGTTTCATTTGGATTAGAAAGAAGGAAATGCATCCAAGTCTTGTTAGGGTAAGTACAGCAGTTTCATAGTTGTTAGGGGCTGGAAGGGACGTTACAGATCTTGGGGAACAGAAAGACTCTAGTCTACATTCACTACAGAAAACTAATAACTAGTAAGTAACACATAAGAGCTTCCTTGTATTGTGTAGCCTCAATTCAAGTTGATATCACATCACTATCTGTCTTGCATAACAGCCAGCAGAATCAGATGCCTTCACTCTCATTACAGCATCCATAAGCAGCAGAATCTGGCTGTAAGCAACTTCCTTCTGATTCCAGTAATTTCAAATAGCTTGAATATGTTGCTTCTTATTTACAGCTGCAATGCAAGCTTTAAGAAGAAAAATACAAAAGGACAATCAGCATATGATCTGGCTGTGAAGACTGGGAATAAAGAAATAATAGCATTGTTTACAAGTAAACTTGGACAGGGACTGTTAAACAAACTCACCAAACCCAAAAATATTACTCTGACTGATGTTTGACTGCAATCACCTTGTTGAAGGTAGAGGTGGAAGTTATTTATGGTCAGAAGAAATGTATGGGACTGTACTGAATTCCCCCCGATTTCAGGCTCTGGATTCTTCTTTTTTTTTTTCCCTTTAACTAGGTGTCATTGAAATCAGTGACATCTGACTACAATGTCAAAAGCCTCAAATCCTATCTAAAATCCTTAAGCAAGATTCTTTTGTAGTTCAAAAAGAAGTCTAAGAACTTCAGGGTTAGGCCCCAAAGGAATACCTGTGCCTTTTCAGCTTTATTCATCAACTCTGTGGAGGTGCCAGTAGGATCTAGGATTGACTGATCAGCCGATTTTATGTTTTAAGTATAATGCATTATGAATCATGTAGACCAGGGGTTCCCAAACTGTGCTACATGTACCATGGGGGAAATGCAGGACATCTCCAGGTGACTATGCAGGAGAAACTGTGTAATTGCAGATTTGATTTTCCTTATAATTGGTTTTGAAGGGTTAAAACATATGCTGACAAGGGTACGTGGGCAGCTGGTAAATCTGGAAGAGGGTGCGCAATAAGAGAAAATTATTTGGGAACCTCTGATGCAGATTGTTGTAAAAGGACAAGAGTTACGTTTCATTGTAGGAAGTGTTGTGAGTAGAGTTAAAATAAAATCTTTGTTCAGTGTTTTGTCTTATAGACATTTATTTATAAATGCATCAAAACAAAAAGTGGAACTGTACAGGAGACTTTCAAAAGCCACTGAGAGATTTGGGAGCACTCAGCTAAGAATAACGAGATGGAAGTGAGAAGCCCTTTACAGGGAGGGCAGAGATCTATCCAAGGCTCAGACTTTCCTGCTGGAGCCACTGGAGGGTACGATGGCAACATGAGCTGTTCAGCCACTACAAAGACGTGACCGCCATATTAGGACCACTACCAGCCTCCGTCTCAAGAAATGCAATCACTCCAGCAGTCAAACAAGAGCAGATCTACATGCCTGATGCTGCCTGCAAGTAACAACTAGAGAAAACACTCAGGAGGTCAGCTTTGCAATGTAGCGACGCATGTCCTTTGCTGCTTCTTCAACCTCTGTCACCTTCTGAGAGATCTGCTTTTTCTGGAAAGAGAAGAGAAATTCTTCAGCTTAGGGACGGGCACTGTCATACTCAGCTGTCCCAGGACAAACAAGAGAGGGCAAGGGCACAGAAACAGTGACACACTGTCTGGCCCAACCCATGACAGAACAGCGATCAACCAATCCTGGCAGCACAGAGAGAGGGAAAAGGGGATGAGGAAAGAAAGCTGCACAACAAGGAAGTCATTTTGTGGGGCCAGGATGTCAACTCGCAGACCTCACGACCAGAGGCTGCATTAACCTCCCTGAACTCAGCGTAGGGGTAAGCAGGCCCCAGAGCGGAGATGCACGTACAATCATGTTTCTCATCCGCTCCTTGTCCAGCTTCAGGAACTCCTGCAGCGTCAGGTCAGCAATGTCCTTCTGAAGGGAGAGAAAGGCGCAGGCAGGGGAGTGCTTCCGGTGCTCGTCCCTAGGTGAAAGAACCCAGCTGGGATGATGGCTACCTCCCAGAGCACCGCCCTCCTCCCCTCCCGAGCCCGCTCCCTCCAGCGCTCAGCCCCTGCTGCACACATCGCAGTCGTGGCTGCACCCGCCCACGCGGGGGGGAGGGGGAAACTCACGCGGGGTCGTCGTCGGGCTCCCAGCCCTCGAGCTCCTTGAGGCAGAAGAAGCACTGTGCCACGTCCGGGGAGTTGTCGCTCGGGCGGTGCACGAACCCCGCCGCCGCCATCTGCGCCACGGTCAAGGATGGGGGGGTCAGCCGGGCCGCCCATCTCATCTCATCCCATCCCATCCCATCCCAC